CTCACGATCTTTCCAATAGTTCCTTTCACACACGAAAATCCTCCACAATATCCTTCACTCCTTTCTCACTAGAATTTCACTCCTTTTCTTTTTCACACTCGAGTTCCTTTTCTCACACTTTGTCTCTTCACACTTTTTCAAGGTTTTTTGGTAGGTCTCTTCGGGGTAACTCTTCACAGCATCACTTCGGGGCAACTCTCTCACTTTATGTGGCAGTGACTCGTGGGGCAGTTGTGGCACGAGTGATTTCTTCCAATCATCCTCACCTCTTCCTTGCTGATTTTTTGGGGGGGTCATCGGGTGTCCTTCTTTTTCTCATTTAGGGCCTCGCTCGAGGGATGTCTCTTTCCTCCGGGGTCACGCGGGGTCCTTTTTCATGATGTTGATGCGTGAGTGCCAGGGGGAGGGAAAACGGGGACGAGGGTTAGGAGTATCTGAGGATGGGATGCCCAACGGTGGCAAAAAAGATTACTTAAACTTAACTTAACCTATCAAAGTAACGTGTATTAATTAGGGAGCAGGGGGGGGGGGGGCGAAAAATTCTGCCTCGTCACACCATAACCCCTTAAAAGAGGAACACCCGAATATTGCACCGACACAGGTAGAGATGCATTCATGGTAAAGGCACCCGCCTATTTTTCGCCGCGCCAGCAAGATTTTCAGTAAAATATCTAGTCCATCCACCAAGATTCAAATAAATATTTTCAGGATAAAACTCAAATCCGCAATTTGACCATTGGCGCCAGTCGTAATGCTTCACCTCGGCAATTGTTAGAAACTTAAAAACCCCGACCGAACTGGGATTCGAACCTGCGATCACCTACGAGCTGAACTGCTACTGGGCGTTCCTAAAGTGAAAATTTAAAGGGCAAACAATGTTAAAAAAAAGTGCTCTGAAGATTGCACAAAAAAATTGTCTTCAGATGATTTCTTAATAAATAGTTTTGCAAAAATCTTAAAAAAAACGGTAATAGTATAATGCATGGATAATGGATAATGGATAATGGATAATATAATGGATGGATGGAACTTCATACAATTTTCTATTTTTTTGAAGTATTATTCATCTTAATAACTATAAAAACACAAAGCAAAGAATAGAAATTCAGTCACACTCAATGAAGTATATACCTGAAGGGACTAGACCTTCAAGTCGACCTTTGGTGGGGCTCGTATCAGTTGCGTCCTCGTCGCAAACCCTGGGTCATGTTAAGTGGTGGGGGGCTTGAAACTTTAAAAAAAGTGCTTCACCATGAATTTTTCTAATTACCTCATAATATTGTATCGTTAATTATACATTAATTGCTTTTTGCAGAAAATGCAAAGTAGGGAGTGCTCGTATACACACATGAGCATCCACCAAAATAGTGAGATGACTCAAAGAGATAACTAAATTCATTAAAAGATGGTTAGTTCGGACACTAAGGATAACTATTTCCAACATGATATACGCAAAATTTAAAAAAATCATGGAACGGAACAAGTTGAGAATAGAGGTAGCACGAATATACTTTTCCTAAAAAATCGTTTGCTGAAAATAGTGGACAAAAAATTTCTTGCAGAGATCTTGCAGAAAAAAATAGTTTGTACAGATTTTCCGAATTTTTCTCTCGAATATCTTCCCAAGTTATCGTTACAAGATTTCGTTTTGTGAAGAATCTTTTTGAATGAGAAAGAAGACCTTCAGAAGAATCTTTCAATGATTCTTCCAAAGATTTTTGAAAGATATTCCATAGACTCTTTTTTTCCACGCGGGTATTGAACTGTGAATCTCTCTCTCCATTCTGATTCTGTAATGACTGCATTGATGTGGAAGATTATTGATAGAACGAATGTTACACAGAACGCAGATACATCATATCAATTTTGAAAAGGAAAAATTGGATTTTTGTTCGTACCGCGGGATTCTCTTGGAAAGGGATTTTATTAATTCTTTTATTTTTTTTTTGTATCGAGATTAAACGATTTTATTAAAAATTGGTCTCCCCGACAATTTTACGAATTTATTTTGTTCGATTTTTGATATCCGAATCAGATCAATTTTCTAACGACAATTAAATCTCTCCGTATCGAGCTGCTGAATGTAGAGAAACTGGAACTGGAGAAGGATTTCAATGGTAGTCATTCCGTCTAATGACCTAGCGCCTAACTGTTTATTCTAGTTTCCGGATTGTTGCCATCAGAGGGCCAGCATAACAGAAGGAAAACCCCACATTTCTTTCAAAATTACGTCACACTACTCCACCATGGACACTACCACTTCAAGCAAGAAGAGGAGCCTTAGGCTTAAATGGATTACTCAACGTTGCGCCAACGCACACTCGCCGATCCAAAGGATTCATAAATAATTGCGGTGCTCAAAAAATTTAATGGATCTAAGTGGATGGTAGCCTGGAAACACATACGATGCTTGCTGTTGTTGGAAGCCGCTACCGAAAACAGCGCAGACCGTGGATAATTATCTCACTAACCCAAGATACTAGATCTCCTAGGAATCGCGAAAAAAATCCCAAATATTAGTTCCAGACCTTTACTTTACCTCCCGTCTAATGCTATTGACATTTACGTATGTCGCATTGAATTAACCCATATTTTTCGAAGCGAAAAGGCGGCCATACTAGAGACAGTGGAAAACTATGCGCATTAAATAATATGCACAAAATTAAACGTTAGCCTCATTCGCTTAACAAATCTACTCTCTTGAATGCAACGTACGAAGCCTGGGCACCCACAGCAACGGGAAAAAACAGGAGGAACCTGGAATAACCAACCCAGAGTTTATCATGTAAGAAACATACCTCGAGCCATTTTTACCGGGCGCAAATGATATGACCAAACCAGAAACCATTAAAAAAAAGGTATTTCTTTTTCGGCAGAACTGCCGATATAGTTATTTGTTACTACTGTTGGGTAAATCTGGCGCGAAGGCACAATAGTGACGACCCCATTAACAGACAATCTCAAGAACATAGAAATTGACTACTTGATATTCATCGTCAGCCCGAGCCCGATGAAAGTACCACCTTGGTGAATTGGACTCAAATCTTTAAATATATCTCAAACCTTCTACTTTCCGTGGCTGCATCATCTCCTTAACCCTTTGCTCATCGTGAATAGAGCTTTTTTGTCCAGAAGTAATCAATGCCGCCATACTACCGATCCTAGGAACACTTTCCCTAGATACCAAATTACCCTTATCAGAAAAGAATCCAACTTCAAAGTTTTAGGCGGAATTACTCTTTTCCCAGTATTTGCGCTTCAAGGATAATCCAAATAGACAATTAATGAGGTTGAAATTATCTAGTAATCTTTTGATAGATCTAGACTATCAAAATCTCAAATTAGCACCGCCACCAGAATGACCGGCCATGTGACATATTTTCACAACCATATAATATTCAAATGTCACCAGACAAACACTATTTAGGCGTAAATATATTTCAAAATCACTCACTCAGAAACATTTACCCCCTTCACAGTATCATAGTAAGCACGATCCAGTTGAACACAGACACACTCCAAAGCGTACGGCTAATGAGAAAATCAGGATGGTCACGAAACACCGGAATAATAAACAATATCAGCAGAGTGCACGCCGCCAGCGTGCTATTTATCATAACCCTTAACGAAGCGAAAAAATGACATCAGAATGATGTTTCTCATGACAGTTCGTCACACCCTATAGATATCCTAGTTTGTGCCGATACGAGAAATGGATTTTGCTGACCAGGGGCACTTAGCAACAATTTATTACAGCAGTTAGTTCGCGTTAGTTGCAGGCAGTTACAAGTACAGTAAATTAGAGTACCGACTCTTCAAGACCGCTGAAAGGTGACTCTCCCACTCAAATCCGATCGATGAATACATCATCTCAAAAATATGCTTGGTTAGCAACAGCAACGCGACCCAAAAACTATCGGAGCATAACGCAACGGCGCTTGGCAACCAATGGTTCCGCGCGACATGCCCAGTAAACCAGGTTCTCAGAACCCCGACCCAACTGACTGGTTGTATTTACAGCCTATTCAAGTTACCCGACCTACGTCACAATCGACATCGTGTATCCCCAACTTCTTACTCAACCTACCCCCACACCGGTATACCCCAAACACAGATAGAACAAGTCAAATACGGTGAACGTGTCGTCTTCTCTTAGTTTCCTTTTAACCCCATTTATTCCCCTTCATTCTATTGATCCTTGGTAGAATTTATAATCAGTAATCTTATATCTAAATATACGTCCTAAATCAGAATGGAAAATTTTTCCGTTTATTCAAACCTTATGGTAGTAGCCCGCAATAATGTGTGTTTAGCACATCACACATCGTTCCCCATCTTTCATAAAATCGAAGCATAACCTATCATCTTGAGGTTCACTATTTGTCTCAATCTCTTCACAAGTTCGGTCTCCCGGGATCGTAACATAGCTACAAAGCAATAGAAGTACTGTGCATTTTCGTGGTTGGCACCTGCCCAGCCATCAATAGAAGGAGAGTTGCGCGTATAGGAATATGATGTGACCAAAAATTATCAATGTTTTTTGAACATTTCGTTCCGAATTATTGATCAGATCGATCCGTATATACGGATATAGCGATTGTATGTTTGATCACTGTTTTAGTGTGTGCAAAGTTTATTACGATAGAAACTTTTTTGCGAATTTATTCTAAGATTTCGTTAATTTCCCATAATATTGTGGTTGAATCCGCTTTTTATAAGAAAAATCAGAGCTTCGTTCCTTAGTTACGAAAAAATCTCAAATTTTTCATATGGCTCTGGGGAAACTTAAAAAAAAATCATTACCTTCTGCTATTTTTGAGAACAGGTACAGAATATCCGTAAGCTTACAGGTTTTTCCTCGGGATTATCAAGTGATTTCCCAATTATTATACAATTATCAAGTGAATTCCCAATTATGAAATTTTCAGTTGTCCAATACTGAAAATGTGTTGGTTTAAACTAAAAATGTCATTCTTCAAGTTTGAAAAATTATAACATACATGCAATAATATTTCCATAACGATTTTTCGTTTGATTTTCTGCCGACTTTGAATTATCCGCCAAATATAGTTCAGTCTCCTTTGGGAATAATTCGAATTCCCTGCTGAATCCAATGTCACCATCAGCATGCAGTGCAGCAACATGTTGTACAAAGTGGTGTACTGGAACTGTCGTGCTTTCACCATCCTGCTTGCTATTCTCCCATTCCTGGAGTGTCGGTACATTCCTTGGTGGGTAGTCCAAGAAGCAATAGGATGTTTGGAAGCATTTTCTGAAGATGTGCCTGTAAAACGGCTCCATTAGTTGCGTCTAATAACAGTGGCATGGATACTCTACAATTCATAGCAACTGAAATAAACTATATCTCGCGAAATAGATCGAAAAACTGAGTATGAGTTATAAGTACCACTCGTATTTCGGTATCCTGGTAGCACGATTTAAGGTTTAAGAGTGATCCGGAAAATTGTAGTACAGGACGGATGATTGAGGGAATGAAAGGAAGCTGGAGAATGATCCAAGAAAAGAAAAGATTGTGTTAATTGCAAAGGAGATGATTTAGCCAAGGTTTATAGAGAGAAAATGAATAGAAAACGAATAAAACTTTACTTGGTCAATATTTGGAGAAGTTATGAATTTCTGAAACAAAAAATATGAGAAAATTCATATCTCGACAACAGTTCGACGAAAAAATTTGAAAACATTCAAGAATTCTTCCCTCATCACCTACTATTATCCACAAAAAACTCAGGAAAATCGAAATTTCAAATTTTATCTGTTTTTTTTCAGAGAATGCCTCACAGACCCTCTAACTTCACCCCCTGCTTAAGGCTATTAGCATCTGCCCTTTGATGTGTAATGCAAGTAGCTAGCCCAGTCCTCCGTCTAGATAACTAGCAAAAGGCCGCCATCAAATCATATAAATTTTAGTGTTTACGGAATTTGATGGGGAATATAGCAATTGTTTATTAAGCTCAAATCTCCACTAGTTCCTTGTTTCACTCCTTTTTCCCCATTTTAGGCAATTCCCCTTTCTCCGTAGCTCTGGAAGAAATATTTAAAATAATATTTACCGTCAAGATTACAAAATTATAAAGTTTGGAAAGTACGTAGTAGATTCGCACCAAAGATTTCACGCGGTTCCTGGCTAAAGAGTTCAGCGTAACTCGAAGAAATCGATGAAAACAGAAATAACTAGTGCCCGTTAAGGCATTGAGAACTTCCAGAAGTCGGATGAGAATTATAAATGATCATACACCGTTGGGCACCTTGAGTAGGTCTCTTGATAGATGTGCTACTAATCAAACATGGCGGATCTCATGGGGATAATTGATTATCAGAAAATCGGTCTCGATTAATCGAAGAGATCACATCACATCAGTTGATTAGCATAGTACCCATGTCTGCTATGGAAACACGAGAAGTTCTTATGCTTTATCCTTATATATAAAGAGAAGCATCGAGAGTCTCGAATTGCACTCGAATGACATCTCGAATGACAATTCTCGAAAAATCGAAACTAGAAAATAATGGAGGAATACAATGGTATTGAAATAACAAAAGAAATGTTTCTGAATTTCCAAGAATTATATAAAGACGTAGAAATGATGGTAATTGAAGACAAGGAATTTCAATCGCATAGTGAAGATGATTTTGTAGATTAAAAGTATAAGTGAAAAAGAGTTGAATACTGGAGAAGTTCGAAAAAGAAGGAAAATCGAGTCGACAATTATGACAATTATGACAATTATGCCATATAAGACCATCTCAAAAAACAAAAACCACCATTTTTATTAAAAAAAAATTGCGAAAACTCCGTACCTTTAACTTGATGGTTTTGTTTTTCAAAAAAGCAATGAAATAAAGAGAATGCTACAAGTCCTTAAGTTTGTAATGTACAAGGTGATGATGTATTGAATTTTGGATTTAGAAGGTTTGAAGACAGAAATCGATGAGTTGAAAACGAAAAATTGAATGAAAACGGAAGATGAACCAACAAAAAAATTCAACTATTCAAAAAAAAACCGTACTTGGTGTTTTTGCAGTTTAAAACCAGACTGATTCGCCACCAGAATGGTTTTAACAGTGGGAAATATTTTTCGTCATGGGACTCAACAAAAAAAATCATAGGTGGATCACGAAGACAGTAGACCAAGTGGGAGCAACAATAAGAAGCCGCTCATAGTTGCTTTTCAACCAAACATCTATTGCATAACTATGAACAAATTCTAATGAAAAGCTCTAATAGAGCAAAGGGGCCTGCAGCAAATCTTCAGCATAGTGAAGCGAGTGACAGTATCAATGACAGTCAACCCACATCTTCTCCCCCGTCAACACATCCCTTCAATCAGAGTAACCCCACTCCAACAACTGAGCATGATACCAAGTCGCAAGATCTCAGGAACAGTCTGAAAATAAGGCCTTTAGAAGGGAAGCGAATAGTTGGGTTCAAGTATTTTAGTGATCAAATGTTGTACTGCCCTAAGTTTTCAATTTGTCAAAGATGTAACACATTGTGGATTAAGCTCACTATTATGCATCAGATGTCATGAGTGTCTGCTTACAAAAGAGTCCATTGTCAAGATGTGAATACCAGAAGTCTACTAGGTACATCATACATTCTGACGAGGCATAATATATGACGCCCTTCTCCACGATATATGACTCGCCCTGCCGACTAATTAATACACGTTTGTGTCCTGAGGATTGATGTTGAAGGATTTGGTCGTGGAACCATTGTGTAGAGAATTTGGTTGTCGATAGATTGTGTTGAGGATTTCTAGGAGAAGTCGAGCGAAAGTGAACGGAGAAGCGAGGAGAGACAGGAGAGGATTTCTGGGAATCCGTAGGACGCTATCAACCGTGAGTGCCCAGTTCCATCCCCTGCCCCAACGGGTTTTCTCGCCCCAGTATTTTCTTACTAAATTCTCCCCAACGGTGAATCTCCACAGTATTATCTCTTTCTTTTGTCTTGTATAATTTCCGTCCTCTAATTCGTGGTCATTTTTTTTCAATCGTATCCCTCACTTCTTCCCCTCATCGTTGAATTAGAACAATCTTCTCTTTTTAAAATTATGTTCTTTTTTATCGCGTAGCCGCAAGTGAGTTGGCCTTACCCCCCGACCGTCGATTTAATTAGTTATTAAAACAGACAAATAATTATTGTAAATCACTGGCAAATCTAGTCACGGAACTATTATTCACTTTGTAACCAGATAACAAGCCCGGTCTTATTATTTAACCTCTCCTCCCTTTTTTACCTTTCAGGCCTTCCCGAAATCTAAAACCAATTCTTGTCTGATTTCCGTGGATATTCGCGCCGCAGTCGGATATACCGGGTATGTTATTTCCGGCCATGGCCACAACTGGCGCCCAACGTGAGGTTAACCGCTGTATATGGCGCGCGATCCTGTGTACATTTCCTCCCTTTTTTTTTTCTCCCCATTGTCTCGAGGATTACCGTGTCGGAATAGCACCCTAACCACATAACATTTCCTTCAATTTCATTCTTTTTCAAAAATTGTAGCTTTTCTCTATTTTTTAAAATTCTAAGTTATTTGAGCAAACATGAAAATTAAATTTTTGGAAATCGTTTTCTTTAGACCCTCCCCCTTTTTTTCTTGTTACTGATCCGATCGTCCCCAATATTATTAGTATTATTCTTACTTTGAATAGCTGGCATTTCTTTTCTTTATAGTCAAATTTGCGTTTTTCGCTATGCGTATTTAGTTGCTTTAAGATGCCTTATCGATGCGAGAACTCCATTTTGGGTTCATTGCTGTTGCAAAATTGTTCTAACGAATTTTATGTTTCTGATCAGTTCTTTCCATCATTTCTCGCGGATTCGTGCTGCTCGGAAGTGCACTACCGATAACCAGTCCTTTGTCAAGGAATAAATAATTCAAATTAAGGAAAATGACCTCCAGCCAAGTGACCTCAGATCCTCCCCCGTTAAGAGCCGTCGTTTCCACAGCCCTGACTACAACCACAACCCCCACCATTAACACGGCCTCCATTATTAGCCCCCCTGCCTCCTAACTCCCTTGCTGCCCTCATCGCAGATTATTACTGTAACCTAGAGAAGCAGTGTGATTCACTCACTCCTTGCGACTAAATAAATCTTGCTCGACACTCTAGGCATTGAGAGTAGGGGATTTTATGATGTTATAAGCCATAGCTTTGTTTGGTTTCAGATCAGGAAAAAATTCGAAGAACGCACGACCCCCTTGGAAGACCAGGTCGATCCCATGTGAATGCCTCTCACTACTGTCGGGTTTCGCGTCATTGCTGACTCCGATGGCTCATTCACCCTTCGCCCCTCTAGCACCCTCCGGACAGAGCAAACTCTTGAGGCTTATCGCAACCCTATCAGTTTTGAACGATTCACAAAGGACCTCTCCGGATCGCAGTCATTAGGAACCATACGCCCTGCCTATCGGGTTATATTCCAATAAACTCTTACTAATAACCTCACTTCAGTTTTCACCCAGACCCATCACCCCGAAAATCTACCACCTCAGCCCCCATCGAACATCACTATGGACCCTGCCGACCCCACCGGATTCCCCCAGACCCGATTACAACCCGATACGTACAGGGCTCCTTTTTGGGAAGAAACACACTATGATTTGCAAACTCATGATTTGAGTGTTAGCCATTAATATTGCGGGAACAATAATGGAACATCCTCATAAATTTTTGAATAGCATCCCTCTGTTACCATTCCAATGGACTAACTAAAACAGAGACACTTCGGGCTCTCCCCTCAGCCTTCAAAAATTACACTCGCTTTTGGTGTTTGATTGAATTGCCAAACATCAAGGGCTATAATGATTTTCTCAGGACCTTTCAGCTCATGCGTTGCCCCCTTGATCAAGAGGAAAGCATATGGCGAAACGAGTAGAGCATGATGTGTTATATTTCCTTCGCCCCTCCCCTCCATTGACGCGACCGTCCGCGATTCAAACCGCTGGAAAACCACCTTACCCCTGGGGCTGAGATAAGAGACGATACGTGACGCACACAACAACCCCTACGCTGCCCATGGTGGGATTGACAAGCAAAAGACGTAGCAAAATTTGTTCAGTCGTGCCCGCAGTATTAAAGATATAAGGTAATTTGGACTTGCCCCAAGGGACTGATGCGAGAGAAAGCCACTAGCGAATCCTGGTCCTTTCGTAAAACAGGCCGAAATCGACGATCGGAATAGGAAAGACGCATGATTTAGGGAAGGCGACGTCGTACTTAGAAAGCACCAACCCCTTTCACAGGCAGCACAGCATTTTG